TAACTAAACTTATCAATAAATCCCCCAATTCCCACTAAATTCCACCCACGTCAACTAACTAAATCACAAATAAAATTCAAATATTAAAAATAAAATAATCAAATTTAACCCCTGAGGGTGTAAAAAAAAAAAAATAGATCACAGTAAAGTACTGTGATCTGTATTTTGATCACTGCTGGCAGTGACCAATCAGCAGGGAAAGGGTTACTTTTTTTAAACGAACAGGGTAAAGAGGATTTGGAACATCTTCAGACAATTTATTCACTTCAGTGACACAATGTAACAACAATCCGTCTCTCTCCACTTCAAAAACCCACAAGAGGTGGAGGAAGGCAGGTCTGATATTTCAGCAGCATTGTGACCGTTGTGACTGGCTGTCACAACGATGACGTGGGCCGAGACATCACTCAGAGGCACCGAGCAACAGCGCTAACCCACGATCGCCAGCACCACGGCGATCTGGGGTTAATTTTAGAGCATGACGGACCAGGTCCGTCATCCGGTGTTAAGTGCTTCCCCAGCATGACGGCCCCGGTCCGTAATCAGTCATTAAAGGGTTAAGGGAATAAAGATATTCATGAGTGTAGATAAGTTTGCATAAAACCAAAGGGATTAGGGTCTTGTTCTGAACTTTGTTCATTCTATTTTTAATTAAAAAAAAAACAAAAAACTGACTAAAGTAAAAAAAAAGAATGAATTTTCAAAGAAAATAGATTAAAAATGAAATGTTAAAGGATCACTATAGGGTCAGGAACACAAACATGTATGCCTGACCCTATAGTGAAAACCCACTTAAAATTTACGTTATTTTCAGCTCTCCACGGGTCCCCTTATTGGATTGGCAAAAATCGGCCATTTTGGCCAGTCAGCACCTCATCATAGAGATGCATTTGTAACCGAGTAAACTTGCAGAAGCCAGACACAGAGAGATGGATGCAGGTTTTCAGGAAGTAAGAGGTCTTTATTAGCATACCGTTCCAAAACAGGTCTGAGGGCCGAACACATGGAGTACATGCTTTTTATAGAACTATAACTCCTCCCATTAATAGCTCCACCTGCACATACTCTTAACCAATCAGTGGACAGGATTTGGATTTCCTTATATGGGCAGACCACATGGATCATCCGAAACAAAGGAGAAAGGAATGTGATTTCAGTTCCTGCATTCCTGCACATGCTCAGTACATTGATGACAGTATCTTAGCCACGTGTAACTATCTAACTGATACAACATACACATATGCCATGTGGAAATCTCGGCCTAATTAATTTACATTTCACCGAAATTCCATCACACATTGAATCAATGCAGTGAATCAGTGTTTACAATAAAATGGCTGAAAGTAAAGCTATTATATTAACCAGAACAACTACATTAAGCTGTAGTTGTTCTGGTGACTATATTGTCAATTTAAAAAAAGGGGTGTCTCAAAATCAGTTTAGCCACAATATAGTAAGTCAACTTTTTTGGGTGTGGCGGGAAGTGCAAATCCATAAGCACACCCATCCACAAATCTGTTCTCCTGTTCACACAGACACACACAAATCCCTCCTTACAAACAGGCACACATTGCTAAACACTTCAGTAGACAAATTCAAACAAGTACCCCAAGCACATGTACTGTAGCCAAGCTAATATTTGGGGCTGCTTCTTGTGCTGTGTACAGTCAATTTCACCATTGGAGTTCCATTTGAAAACTTTTTTTTTTTTTTTTTTTTACAGGCCTTCACAGAACTTCAAGCCAAAGTGATTGACACGCAGCAGAAAGTAAAACTTGCTGATTTACAAATTGAGCAGCTCAGTAGAACAAAGAAACATGCTCAGCTAACCAACCTTGAAATTATGAACTTGTCTGATACAACCCCTGTATATGAAGGTGTGGGAAGAATGTAAGTAATGATGAATTTTATTCATGAGCATGTATATATATATATTTTTTTTTTTTATAGCACTAGTATTTAATTTGGACAGTGTTGTTTAAAAGCTAATACATTGATATATAACGTGAGATCAGCATAACCAAACAAGATAAACTTACAATCTGCAGGACCTACCGTATATACTCGAGTATAAGATGAGTTTTTCAGCACATTTTTTGTGCCGAAAAACCCCCAGTCGTCTTATAATCGAGTTAATGTCTGTAATATGGGCTGTGTAGGAGGGGGCTGGCAGCGAGCTGTAACTTACCTTTCCTGCAGCTCCTGTCAGCTCCTTTCTCTCTCCTCCGGTCCGGTCAGCTCCACTGTAAGTATCGCGAGAGCCGCGGGGTCAGAGCGTTGCCACGGGTTACTGTGGCAACGCTCTGCACGGCACACAGACCGCGAGACTTGCAGTGGAGCTGACCGGGGAGCTGACTGGACTGGAGGAGAGAGAAGGGAGCTGACAGGAGCTGCAGGAAAGGTAAGTAACAGCTCATTGCCAGCCCCCTCCTACACAGCCCATCCACTGGACCACCAGGCAGTGAGAGCCCCCCTCCCTGGCCAGCTAACAAGCAGGGAGGGGGGACAAAAATAAATAAATAAAAGTTTAAATAATAAAATAAAATATTAACCCCTTCCCAACCGCAGACGGAAATTTTCTATCAACCTTGTCCTTCAGTTAAGGACCGTTGACGGAAAATTTCCGTAATTTACTAAAGTTAACCCCAGATCGCGGCGATCGTGGGGTTAACGGTGCTCCGGTCTGCCTCTGTATTAGAGGCAGACCGGGAGCACCCGATCGGGCTGCCCTTGCAGCAGTGCTCGCTCTGACAGGCATGTGCTGTATATACTTACCTTCCGCCTCCCTGCACTTCCGGGTTCTGTGTGAAGTGCAGGGAGACGGATCAGTGCTGCTGATCTTCTCCCTGTGTATAAAGTTAAATCCCACCCCCTCTCTCCCCTGCTTTAATAAAATTAACCCCCTTCCCTGCCAATTGGCAGGGTATACATTTTAATGTAATCTGATTTTTTTTTTTTTTTTTTCAACCCCATGAGGGTTAATTATTATTTATTTTTTAACCCTCAAGTGTTACATTTATTTTATTAATTTAAATATTTAAAAATTATATATTTAGCAAGCTGGAATTTGGTGTTAGGCTAACTAGGGGTTAACGTTAAAAAAAAGTTTTAAAATAAGCTTTAAAAAAAAAATTTAAACTTTTTAGTAACGTTTAAGTAAAAAAATAAAAAAAAAAATACCACCCTGCTTTACCCAGTCTAAATAAAAATTAACCCCTTTCCTGCCAGTTGATCACTGCATACAGTGATCAAAATGCAGATCACAGTATTATATTGTAATCTAATTTCTTTTAACCCCTGAGGATTAACTTTTATTTATTTATTTTTAACCCTCAGGGGTTCAGTTTATTTACTTAATTGATTTAAATATTTTATAATTATATGTGTGTGTATATATATATATATATATATATATATGTATATGTATATGTATATGTATATGTATATATATTTATATTTTGCTAGCTGGAGTGGGTGGGAGTTATGGGAAACGGGGGAATTTACTGTTAGTGCTTCTTACTGCTAGTTAGGGGTTAACGGTAAAAGAAAAGTTTAGAAAAAAAAAGTTTAAAAACGGGATTTACAAAGTAAAAAAAAATACATTAAAAAATGCTCATTACCACTACACTTGGTACAAGCTAGCGGAAAAATTATCCCACGCTAAGGTTCAAAATATCTCTTTTGAATTAACCTAGGATGTCTTCTTTAAGAAATGGTATGCCTTTATGGTGTAATTGGATTATATAGCCTTGTAAAATACTCCAAAATGGGACATGGACACAGCGTAAAAATTCAAAATTTGAAAAAAACTGGAATGGCTGTGTCTCAAATGTGCCCCTTCAATGTCTACATATACCTGGAAAAGGTACATACGGGGGTATTGCTGTACTTAGCCGACATAGCTGAGCAACATATGAAGTATTATACAGTCGTAGCACACATACAATTTGCAAAATATACTGTGCAAACTCACTTTGTGTGTCAAAAAGGCAAAAAAACGCTTATTACCACTACACTTGGTACAAGCTAGCGGAAAAATTATCCCACGCTAAGGTTCAAAATATGCCTTTTGAAATACCCTGGGATGTGTGCTTTAAGAAATGGTATGCCTTTATGGTGTAGTTGTAATATTTAGCCTGCTCAAGTGCTCCAAAGTGGGACACGGACGCATCAAAACCCTCCATGAAAATTCATACTTAAAAACCTTAACTTGTCACGTCTCTTTTACAGCAGTGTAACTTCACAAAATAGTGTCTAGGTAATACATTGGGCATATTGTTTTACTCAGAAGACTTAGCTGAGCATAATTTGGGGGGTTTGAACTTAGTGGCACATATGAAATGTACAAAATGCCCAGCAAAAATGTAACCGTATGTAAAAAAAAATGCCCCAAATTATTTTTTACTACATACTTTGGCATATATTGGTGAAAAAATGGGGGCATGTTAAGGCACAATATGCACCATATGAGATACCCTGGAGTTAGGGATCGACCGATATTGATTTTTCAGAGCCGATACCGATACCGATATTCTGTGAACTTTCAGGCCGATAGCCGATATAATTTGCCGATATTCTGTACATTTACCATTTTGGAAAATAAAAACTATTTCTAAAGGTAAATGCACAAAATATACATGCCACGTGTAGTGGATGCAGTGTGACAGGGGAGCTGTGTGTGTTTGTGTAGTGTGTGTGTAGTGGATGCAGTGTGTGTTATGGATGCAGTGTGTGTTTGTGTAGTGTGTGTGGAGGATGCAATGTGTGTTTGTGTAGTGGATGCAGTGTGTATTTGTCTAGTGTGTGTATTAGTGTAGTGTGTATATAATGAAAGCAGAGTGTTTGTGTAGTGTGTGGGTAGTGTGCGTAAAGTGAATGCTGTATATACTAAATGCAAAGTGTGTGTGTGTATATAATGAATGCAGAGTGTGTGTGTATTTGTGTAGTGTGTGTATAGTGAATGTAGTGTGTTTATATAATGCAGAGTGTGTGTGTTTGTATAGTGTGTATATAATGCAGTGTGTTTGTGTAGTGTGCATTATATAAACACACTACACAAACACACTGCATTATATACACACACACACACTGCATTATATACACACACACACACTGCATTATATACACACACACACTACACAAACACTGCATTATATAAACACACTACACAAACACACACACTGCATTATATACACACTACACAAACACACACACTGCATTATATACACACACTATACAAACACACACTGCTTTTTTGAACAGTCAAACTGCTATAATACCCCAAATTGAAGCATAGGCCCATTAAATCCGCCTCCAAAATTCTACTGTAAATGTTGAAACGGACAGGTCTCCTATATGGCACTGTAGCTTCACGAAATAGTGCCAAAGACATACAATGGTATCGTTGTGCTCAGCAGAAGTAACTGAACACAAAATAAAGCTTTGTACAGGAATAGCACACACCAACGTTACAAAATACACATGAGAAGTTCTTTGTTATAAGTTTGTGTGCCAAAAACCCCCAAAAACTAAATTTTACTCCAATATTTAGCAGAGAATGGCGGTGAAATAGTTACGTAGAAAGTGTCAAAACGACCTTAGGACAATAGCCTGTGATGTCTACTTTATATAAATACAGGGAGTGCAGAATTATTAGGCAAATGAGTATTTTGACCACATCATCCTCTTTATGCATGTTGTCTTACTCCAAGCTGTATAGGCTCGAAAGCCTACTACCAATTAAGCATATTAGGTGATGTGCATCTCTGTAATGAGAAGGGGTGTGGTCTAATGACATCAACACCCTATATCAGGTGTGCATAATTATTAGGCAACTTCCTTTCCTTTGGCAAAATGGGTCAAAAGAAGGACTTGACAGGCTCAGAAAAGTCAAAAATAGTGAGATATCTTGCAGAGGGATGCAGCACTCTTAAAATTGCAAAGCTTCTGAAGCGTGATCATCGAACAATCAAGCGTTTCATTCAAAATAGTCAACAGGGTCGCAAGAAGCGTGTGGAAAAACCAAGGCGCAAAATAACTGCCCATGAACTGAGAAAAGTCAAGCATGCAGCTGCCACGATGCCACTTGCCACCAGTTTGGCCATATTTCAGAGCTGCAACATCACCGGAGTGCCCAAAAGCACAAGGTGTGCAATACTCAGAGACATGGCCAAGGTAAGAAAGGCTGAAAGACGACCACCACTGAACAAGACACACAAGCTGAAACGCCAAGACTGGGCCAAGAAATATCTCAAGACTGATTTTTCTAAGGTTTTATGGACTGATGAAATGAGAGTGAGTCTTGATGGGCCAGATGGATGGGCCCGTGGCTGGATTGGTAAAGGGCAGAGAGCTCCAGTCCGACTCAGACGCCAGCAAGGTGGAGGTGGAGTACTGGTTTGGGCTGGTATCATCAAAGATGAGCTTGTGGGGCCTTTTCGGGTTGAGGATGGAGTCAAGCTCAACTCCCAGTCCTACTGCCATTTCCTGGAAGACACCTTCTTCAAGCAGTGGTACAGGAAGAGGTCTGCATCCTTGAAGAAAAACATGATTTTCATGCAGGACAATGCTCCATCACACGCGTCCAAGTACTCCACAGCGTGGCTGGCAAGAAAGGGTATAAAAGAAGAAAATCTAATGACATGGCCTCCTTGTTCACCTGATCTGAACCCCATTGAGAACCTGTGGTCCATCATCAAATGTGAGATTTACAAGGAGGGAAAACAGTACACCTCTCTGAACAGTGTCTGGGAGGCTGTGGTTGCTGCTGCACGCAATGTTGATGGTGAACAGATCAAAACACTGACAGAATCCATGGATGGCAGGCTTTTGAGTGTCCTTGCAAAGAAAGGTGGCTATATTGGTCACTGATTTGTTTTTGTTTTGTTTTTGAATGTCAGAAATGTATATTTGTGAATGTTGAGATGTTATATTGGTTTCACTGGTAATAATAAATAATTGAAATGGGTATATATTTGTTTTTTGTTAAGTTGCCTAATAATTATGCACAGTAATAGTCACCTGCACACACAGATATCCCCCTAACATAGCTAAAACTAAAAACAAACTAAAAACTACTTCCAAAAATATTCAGCTTTGATATTAATGAGTTTTTGGGTTCATTGAGAACATGGTTGTTGTTCAATAATAAAATTAATCCTCAAAAATACAACTTGCCTAATAATTCTGCACTCCCTGTATATACTTTTGTGTGGCAATTTTGTTGTCTTTTATGGCTATTAAGCTTACAAGACAAACATACCGAATTCGAAAATCGCTCCACATTAAAAGTTTTTTACTCCTTGTGCTTTGTGACCTGTAACTACCAAAAAAAGCTTAAAATCCCAGACACATTATATATTCTGTAAATCAGAACAACTAAATGAATTTATTTTTAATTACTTTCTTTAACCTGCACTAATTAGGCACACATTATTATTGCAAAAACCACAATTTTTTTTTTGTTTTCATTTTTCTGTATTTTTTTAATAATAAATAAGCATCAAATTAAAGCCCTCTCTGTCCTTTAAAAAACAGTATATAATATTTGTCGGTGCAATAAACGAGAGAGATGCAAAGTGCAGTTGAACGCATACAGCAAGAAAATGCAAAATTGCTTGTGTTAATAAGCGAAAGACAAGCTTCTGAAGCTGTGTCCTTAAGGGGTTAATAATATAAAAAAAAGTATTAAAATAATAATTGTTTAATAAAAATGTCTACCCCCACCAAGGCTCTGCTTCATACACTCACACACACACATACTGCACTCATACACACACTGCACTCATACACACACACACCACATTCATACAAACACACTGCATTATATACACACACACACTGCATTCATTATATACACACACTGTAAATAAATATTGAATTAATATAATTTTTTAGGGATATAATTTTATTTAGAAATTTACCAGTAGCTGCTGCATTTCCCACCCTAGTCTTATACTCGAGTCAATAAGTTTTCCCAGTTTTTTGGGGGTAAAATAAGGGGTATCGACTAATATTCGGGTCGACTTATACTCGAGTATATACGGTATATGGAAGTCGATATAATGAACAGACAGCAGATATCCAAGTTTTAAAAAGTCTTGTATGTGCAAGTGCCCTTGATCCCTCCTAGGGTAAATAACCAAATTATTTAACGGGATACTATATACACCCAGACCACTTCAGCTTATTGAAGTGGTCTGGGTGTACTGTCCCAGGGCCCTTAACCCTGCAATTCTAGTTACTGCAGCCTTTGATAAACTGCAGTAATTACATTAGAGAGTTAACTCCACCTCTAGTAGTTGTCTATCAGACAGCCACTACAGGGACTTCAGGGGACCTAACTGAAGCGGGTTGTCCTCATGCTGTGTCATCGAAGACCCTATAGGAAAGAATTATACAATGCTTTTACTATGGGGGGGGATGTCCTAATGCGAGTGCAGTGCTCGCAGCACATGTGCATTATGTCCCCTCCACTGGCTGGCAGAGTCTGAACCATTTTCGAGGGAAATCAGCCCTGGAATCAGGTAAGTGACACAAGAAGTTTTTAACTTTATTTTCCTAGCACTATAGTTTCCCTTTAAGAACGGTTTGACAACTAAACTAGGGTCTGCTGGTTACCTTCCTCCTCTGATGCTTCCATTACCTCCACTAAACTAAGACTTGCTGTACAGGGACAGCTCATTGGCTGAGTGCATCACACAGTCTCCCTACACATTGTGGAGAACAGCACCTCGCCAACAGGCTTTTGGAGAAGCCCGCTTGCAGCCTCCTGCCCCAGGACTATGGGCCCTTTAAAAACGTATGTGATTTATGTACTTTTGTACTCCATAAAGAGAGACCGACCGTTCGCCTTAATTCCCCGAAACTGTTTTGGGCATAGGACCATGTGCACGGTCGGTCAAAATGATAAATTTCATAGAAATCTTGAACCCCTGAGCCGATCTGGGTGATTTTTGGATATGTTGAGCCCCGATCTGGGGGACCATCAGGGGACTTGTGGGGTTTCCATGTGTTTTAGGAGTACTTTCGGGTTGTTGTTGTATTGCATGTTTCTTGCATGTAAGAGATAATTTAATTATATGTTTGTGTACTCAAATAATTATCTCCCAGGCACAGGGGAGGGATTGACCTATTTTGTATGGGAGTGTCCTGGACCTGAGAGCCAATGTAATTGTGTGTGTTTTTACTGTAGTCTACTCTCAGGTCTAGGGGGAGTGCCCCTTTCATGGTGACCTGCATATAAGGCCAATTGTGACGGCCAATACATGAGTTCCTGCTTACCCTCAACACAGAGCCTCGTCTCATTAATTTGTAGAGAACAGCTATACCAGTTATAATCCCTGTTCTTTGGATTGCTATAATCACTAGCTCTTGTAAGAGCTACACTGCTATACTCTCTTGGAGGAGAGGTCATCTCACTGGGAGCTGGATCCAGGATTTTGGTCCAGGGTGAGAAGGAACGGCGAGACCCCAAGCAGCATAGCGAGTAGGGGCAGTCTCCCTTATTTACTAATACTATGTAATCTTTACTTAGTATTGGTAAAGTTAAAGCCTTTTGGTAGATAGCTCCCTAATACCGTGGGAAATAGAGAGCTATCTTCTAAGCGGCTACAAGATGCAGCCGCAGCACGGGTTGGAGTTTCATTCATTCTAATGAAATTTCGAACAAACTAAAAGTATAATGTCGTCCTAATGTGAATGAACAAAGTGTTCTCATTCTGTTAGGATGAAATTCGGTAGTTTGGCAATACTGACAGGAAGCATCGCAAGATCATGGAGTATTGTGGGAAAAATTTTCACCCAGAAGAAGTGGGTCAGAGTGGGTCAAGTATAGAAAAAATACATAAGACAAAGTAGTCTATACTTTGTGTTATGTTTTAAAGAAAACTAGATTAAATAGGAAGAAATTAATAACAGATCCTGAGAGAGGGAGACAAGAGGAAGAGATTAGGGAAAGGTAAGTTCGTCATGACAGTGCTGCTTTAAATCACCCATTTGATAGGGACTAGACTCAACTCTCTAAAGTACATTTCCCCTACTCGAGAATTGATATGGTATGGGATAATTCCCTACTTATAGATTAGGTTA